GGGGACACATGTTGATGTAGAAGAGACATGAAGAAGAGGGGACACATGTTGATGTAGAAGAGACATGAAGAAGAGGGGACACATGTTGATGTAGAAGAGACATGGAGAAGAGGGGACACATGTTGATGTAGGAGAGACATGGAGAAGAGGGGACACATGTTGATGTAGAAGAGGATTTTGCATAAAAGGTACCTGCTGAGTCATGACCTCACTGTGACATCACTTCCTGTCAGATGTTAATGAAGACGGTGAACCAGCTGAGTGCCGCTGCTCCTCGCAGTCATGTGATGCTGCTCGCTCCCCAGATGCATTCTGGGAAGGTGCTGTGTGCCTGTCAGGTTCCAAAGGTAAGCGTGTGTGTGTGTGTTATACAATAAAAAAAAGACAGGGACGGGGCCTCCTGTAAAGCATCTGATTGGCTGTCTTCTTCCTCCACAGGACTCCGCCCTCCTCCCTGCCTCTGATTGGGCGGTGGCGGTGTGTCGTCACTTCGGGGGGAGCGGCGGGGGCTCTGCGCTGGTCGCCAAGGGAACAGGAAGCAGCGATGACATCCCTGAAGCTCTGAAGTGGGCGGAGCAGTTTGCTCGCCAGACAACACAGCGATGACATCACAGCGCCTCCTGCTGAGCAGCTGTCTCCTGATCGGACACGAGGGTTGGGGCAATGAAGTGTCAACCAATGGGACATCTGTTTGGGATAGGGGTGTGGCTCGTGTACAGGACTTCTCTTTGATGCTCTCAGCCAATCAGAGAAACTCTCATAAGCAGCCTTTCTGTCAGTTAGCATGCTAACGATTAGCATCTTTAAAGGATTGATTTTGTGTATTAGAAAGGTGGACAAAATATCAGAAACACCAGGAGACTGTTGGCCCCGCCCACTGCTGCAATCAGGCTCCTCATTGGACGACTCTCAGATGTGAATTATTTAGAGATAATTTATGTGAATTTAACATTTCTGCGTTTGTAATAAATCACTGCTCACTCATTCATTGTCTTTATTAAGGAATTAGCAAGATACATTTTACACATTATTATTATTATATAAGGCACCAGTGTTTCTACTTTATTTACCGTTTATCATCCAATCTTAGCAGGTTATTGTCAAACTGACATTAGACCACTATTTCCCATGAAATAAAACTAAACATTTAAGCTGTTTATCAATCAGCCAATCAGAGCTCAGCTCAGAGAAAGGAGGCTTCCTATTTGCTGTTCTGTTCCCCTTTATGAAAACCTGACAACAGTTTATATTATAGCGTTAGCGGCTTATTAACGATTTATACAGGTGAGCTCGTTAACGATTAATGACTCGTACAGGTGACCTCAGGTATTAAAAATAGTTGGAGACCTGTACGAGTCAGTAATAATTAATGAGGTCTCTCTCCTGACAATACAATATAAATATTGACACAATAACTAAACACCATCACCACATTGACAACCATTCAGTCTGTCAATCAGCTGAGACCAGGACCAGGATCAGAGTCAGGATCAGAGTCAGGATCAGAACCAGGATCAGAACCAGGATCAGGATCAGAACCAGGATCAGAACTCAGAGCAGAGACACGCTGAGCCACTGCAGGAGAAACATGAGCTGAATGTTCATCATATGAACTTTGAATACATATCAATGAATAAAGTTCATTATCTTTAATACCTGCAGCAAAGTGAGCTCAATGGAGCCCGACTGGTCCGTGTCCAGATCAGAGAACGTGTCTGAGGAGAGGAAACATCTTCATCACCATCGTCATCATCATCACCACTTTCATCATCGTCTTCAACACCATTATCACCGTCACCACTTTCATCATTTTCATCACCATCATCAGCACTCACCTCCCTCCTCTTCCTCAAGATGAACAGCACCCCCCCCTCTCTCACGATGAAGAGCACCCCCCCCTTCCTC